TGGACAGAGCCACTGCTGCTTTTCCTGGAGCTTTTAGGTCAGGTCGTCTTGTCCTAAAGACTTTTATTTTCTACCTGGAAAAGCTAAAGCTGGGTCCGAAACCCATCAGTGAATGCTGACACGGGTGCCAGTGTGTGCAGAGCCCCTTGGAATGTCACCTGTGTCCGCAGAGGCATGAAGAGAACAACTGAGGATGAATTTACTTCCCAAAAAAACCATCTTTTCCATGTAGCTTTTAACAGAAATGGCAGATTTTTCTGTTTTGCTGAGCTAAGATTGAGGGAAGGGAAGAAATTTTTTGTCATTGCTGCTTGTTTCAATTCTACTTTTGTTTCCCGAAGTCGTGCTTGTGGGTGAAACACACCCTTTTCTCTAGTGGGTGTTGGAAAAACCGTGTTTGGCTATTTAAAAATATTCCTGGTATTGTAACCACGTAGCTGCTATGATGAAATTTTGATGGGAAACACCCCTTTTTTACTTGTTTTCCCTGTTTCCTCAGTGCTAGCTCACCTGTTCTGCTCCTCAGCAGCTCCCTGCTCCTCTGGTAGCCTGGGTGTCTCTAGGCACGTTGCCAGGGCCGACTGCTTTGAAGTTGAGGCTCCCAGATGCCATGAGCTCCCTGGCTCTCTGCCTGCCTTGCTTGTCGGGGCTCCAGGTGTCTTGGGGTGGCTCATAAACACTTGTGACAGTTGAAATGTCAATTCAGCCTTGCTAAACTAAGCTCTTGAATTCCCAGTCCAGAAGTTTAGAGGCTTAGTTTTTCCTTCTCTTTCAGAATGAAAATAGTTTTCAGGCTGGATGTTCCCAAGCTTCTGTCTGAGGGGGAGAGGTAGCTGTGGATGGTTTTGCTTCAGGTGTGGGTTTTGAGGTCTTGTTTTTCTTCTCCAGCATTGGTATCCTGACACTATGGCCATCTTATAGAATCATAGAATCCTTTAGGTTGGAAGGGACCTCCAAGATCATCAAGTCCAACCATGAGCCACTAGGGCTCTAAAGTCCTCTGCTAAAACAGATCAGAATCTGTCAGGGTTGGAAGGGACCACAAGGATCACCCAGTTCCAACCCCTCTGCCATGAGCAGGGACACCTCCCACTAGATCAGGCTGCCCAGAGCCTCATCCAGCCTGGCCTTAAAGACCCCCAGGGATGGGGCCTCAACCACCTCCCTGGGCATCCCATTCCAGGGTCTCACCACTCTCATGGGGAAGAACTTCTTCCTCACACCCAGCCTGAATCTGCCCACTGCCAGCTTTGCCCCATTCCCCCTAGTCCTGTTGTTACTCGATAGCCTAAAAAGTCCCTCCCCAGCTTTCTTGTCGGCCCCCCTAAGATACTGGAAGGCCACAATACTGATGTTATGTGTTGTCTTAAAATTAAAGTTGCTGTAAAATACAAAATTCTCTGAATTAAGTTCATGAGAATGTGTCTACACCTTTGTGTTGTGGATGGTTTTCACAGTAGATGAATATGAACAGAACAGGCCCAGTGAAGGAGTGTGTACTGAGAAAGTACAAGAGCCAAGTTGTGGTAAACTTAAAACTAAAGCTTTATTTACAGCTCAGCAGCTTCAGCAGTAGTGAGGGATTTGTAAAGCAGTAGTGTCATGGAAAATGTTTTTCAAAGGGCATAAGGGAGAAAATAAGAGCAAGAACTTCTAATACTTCAAGCAAAACTCTCCCTCAGTAGTAACTGCAGTAACTGTGGTGAAGAATGAAGGGGTGTTCTTCCCGTGTTTTCTAGAAGCCTTTCCTGGCCAGGATGGCTCTGAGTGTGCCTGCTGCCAGCCCTGTTTTGGCCGGGGACCCGTGGCCCTGGGCACAGCCTGAGCTCCGCTGACCCCCGTTGCGTAACGCGGGGCGGTGCCTGCGCTCTGCCGCACGGGCTGGCGCTGGGGAGAGGGGTCACTGCTCCGGGCCAGCCTGCACACGGGCTGAGGAACGGCTCGGAACATGGACCAAAATCGAAGGCGACCACAGGGCAGCCTCATCAGCTTGTCAGGATAAGTGATGGATGATAGTCAGGCTGATGTCTGCTCGTTTGACAGTAAGTTGGGTTAGCCGTCCCGCTCTGTCCCCAGCTTTTCTAGCTATAGTTTTAGAACGATGTTTATCTGTGAATGTAGTAATGTTTTGAGCTGTTCTTCAGGTTAAGTTGTCTCATCTAAATAACAAAATCAATAATATCAATGTTCTTTTTGAAAAAAAATTATTACTCTATTCTTCACACTCAGAGCCTGTTCCTGTTCCAGCATCTTTTTTGGTGGGTGTGTGTTTATAAGTTTTTCTTACCAATTTCCTGGGGGGTGTCCTCTTGTTTTTATTTTTTTTTTTAAATCTTAGTGTTTTTTCTCCATTCTTCTGATTGAAGCTGATATCAAAGAATTCAGTAGCTTGGAGCAACCTGTTTCAGTTATGGCTGTGTTACTGAAACATCTAGGTTATGACATGAAGCTCATACATACTCTTTTCAACTTCAGTGGTTTCACTGATGCATTTGACTTAAACAGGTTTTCTTTTGAACTTCCCTGTGTATGGAAAAGCAGCAGTTGCTTCTCAAGCTTTACTTGTGAAGTCTTTTATAAATACTGGCTTACTTTTCGTTCCATCAGACTGATTTCTTTCCTAGTCCCAACCCAAACTTGCTGCAGTTGTATAAAATCATGCATTCTAGCATGCTTTGGTATGCAATATCTGTGTCACTTCCCAGAAACTTGTTTACTTTAATTTCATTGAGATTTATTTTTTAGTACTTTTAGTATCACCCTTTCCCTGTGATTTGGAGGTGGAGGGTGTTGGGCAAATCCTTTTAATTCTTGCATACCTAATAGAGGAGTAAACATTAAAGAGTGACACCCTGAAAAGATGGAAAGTAAAAACCTACTTTCCAAAAGGGCAATCTGTTACACTGCCAGCAGAAAAAAAAAAAAAAGGCCGTTGCTAACTTTTGACAGTTATAAAAATTTTAATGTAATTTGTTTTCTGGATGAGAAGAATAGAAATAGTGATCAGTGTGTAGACTTTGGACTCCTAGCTATGTAAATATTATGGTTGGCTTAGTTTCAGAACTGAAGTGTGGAAATCAAATGAAGTAGTACTTGTAAGAGACTTTTGAATAAAAATGAAGCAATTCTAGAATGTTACTTTGAATTCTTCAGTGTTTCCTATGCAAGTCTCCTGAGACTATTCATAAAAACATTTTGTCCTTCACCCATACAGCACTTCTAATGGGCAGACTTTCCTGTCTGCTACTTCTCTTTTCATCCTGTAAAAAAACAACAACAAAATAAAAGTGCTCTCAATTCTTGACTCTTTGCTTTCAAAGGAATAGAGCTCATTTAACGTTAAACCAGGAGTGGGTGTGATTATGCTTGGAAATCTTAAATCAAGACTTGGTCTAATATTTATGCTGACTTCAGTTTAATGTTTTCTGTGGAGCAGAGTGCTTCTGTGGAGACCCACCTTTTTTGGGCTGACAGAGAAATACAAATGGTTGAATTTTGCTGCTGTGTGAGCCTGTATAGTAAAGCTACTAGGTGGAAGCTGTTCCTGAGAACATCTGCCCAGCCTGTGCTCTGTAAGGCATGAGAACTCGAGCAAGTCATTGTAAGACAGATGAGTCAGGGCTGAATTTGCTGCCAGGCAGGTGCTGTGCTGTTCCTGACTGCATGGGTGCTTTCCCTGTTAGTTACACTTACTGTGTTAATTGGATCCATTTCTGTAGCAGGCATGAAGCAGAAGCAAACCAAAGGCTAGTTGGGTGAAGAGGAGTTTGGGAGTATAGCACCAACAGTCTTCACTAGGCAAGGTTTCTGGCTGAAGAACCCTAAAAAGGCACACGGCAGGAGCAGCGTTCAGGCACTTTGTTGTCTCACATCTCTCTTTATTCCACCTTCTTCATACTCCTCTTTTTCTCACGATAACTGTTTTGCCTGTATTTCCCTAGAATTGTTCCTCATAATGCTGCCAAAAGTGACTTGCCCAACCCCTTGTGGAAATATTTGTTTGCTCCTCAAACCCAGCAGTGAAATCTGCATTTACCCATGTATTTAAAATGCAGCTGTATTCAAAAATGCTTATTCCCAGTGTGGTGTCTCAACTGGATTGTTTGGGGTGGGAACAGTCTTTGTTCTCTGTTCCATATAGCCCAAACCTACACGTGGAGTTCAGATGAGGCAGTGACTTTAGCTGTCCTGGACTGGATAGTTCTGTTAGGAAGTACACCCTCTGCTCTGACTTAGTGGGGGCTTTGTTTTGGGTGGGTGCTGTGAAGCTGTGGTGGTGTGCCAAACCAGCAAGGCAGTCTGGGAGTAAGGTGCTAACCCTTCTGCTGTGGCTGCTCTTGGAACTGAGCTGGGTGTGGCTGGGTCAGAAATCCTCCCTGAAAAGAGTGAGGTACAAACTCTTCTGTGAAGACAACATGGAGTGGCTTGCACAGGAAGGTGCACTTGGGAAGCTCAGAGGAAAATCAGGCAGTGATGGGCAATGCTCATTTAAGTGCCTCCAATTCTTCCCTGGGTCGTTTCTTATCTGGAAAACAAGTATTACTGCTAGAGGGGGGACTGTAATGCAGACCAAAAAAAGTTGCCCAGAAGCCCAACTGCAGTTGAAGATGGAAAGAATTGCATCAGCCTTAAGGTCAAGGAAGCTGCTGGTCCCACCCGAGTCTTGTAAAATTAACACTTCTGCTGGGAAGGTGTATTCCAAAAACTACAAGTCTGGATCAAAGCTTATTCACCTGCATGCGAGGACCCAGGTCTCCCACAAAGTTGCATAATTCATTAATCTGAACTACTTTTTTTTTTTTTTTTTTTAATTTTACTTAAATCATTATGCTGTCATGCTAGAACTCTGAGGAATTTGTTTTTCTCTGTAATTGGACCCTGAAGAAATATCCAGGCTCTGAGCTGGCAGGTTTTCTGGGTTTATTTTCGGTAAATAAAGTACAAATTCAAGTGCTGGCCTTTAATTTTAGAGGAGGTTATTGTAGTGGAAGTGGGCTGCTTCCATTTTTTTTGGCCAGTTTGTTGGTGTGATCTGAAACTGCAGAACATTCACTTCAAATCTTTGAGCTAAAGTTACTAAATGTGATTTTCTCTCTTTCTTGTAGTAATGAATGTTATAACAATAGAAGATTATAAGAACAGATATTGGCCAAAGTTGGACAGTGCCATAGATCAGCTTTTAACTCAGAGTCCTGGTGACTACATCCCTATCTCCTATGAACAAATATACAGGTAAGAAAATCTTCTAAGTGCTTTTTTCTTTAAATGTTTATCTTTCAGCCTATGCATATATTGTATTTTATATTTATGAAGAATGTCAAAAGGTTACACAAAGTACAATATTATTTAGTTGGTTGGAATAGACATGTATCTTGACATCCCATGTTAACAGGAATAAAGGCTAAAGAATTACAGTGCAGAGTGCTGAAAACATTAACATTAAAGTCAGCTACACCACAGGTGCTTAGTGTAATTTAGTAAGAAATGTATTGGTCTCAACATCCCTTTCCTCAAAGGGGGAGAGGAGATTGGCAGGGTAGGTGTTTGACGCAAAGCTTCAAAAGGCTTCTCTGTCATGTCTAGTAGGAACCAATCTGGTGCAGTAGAGATGCACAAGTAAATAGAAGCAGCTAGTGCCAATGTCCATCCATATAAACTGCCATTAGTGTTCTGCATCAGGTAGATTTGGACTGATTTCCCCCTCGCCCAGCCATCCCACTGCATGTGCAGTTAGAGGCTGTCTGAAGGACTAATGCAAGATTCAGTCCTTTGTGTCTCCATTCTTGTCTGGAGAACATCTAATTCAGACCTGGCCTGGAGCTGCAGTTTACTTTGCTTTGAAAGGGATCTGGTAGCACAGCAGGACTGTCCTGCAGACTGAGCTAGTGCACAGTAGTGGGGACAGAAGGGGATTTGCTTCAAAAACCACACTGCTGCTCCAAACCAAAATGCTAAGTGCTTTAGAGACCTGTCAGTTTAAGAGATTGACTAAAATGAAGACTTTTGTTCTGCAGGTGACAGGTATCAAGGGTGTTGGTAAATAGGATAGAAACTGGGTAGCTGCTGCTGCCTTAACTGGCCAAGATGTTATTAGAGCTAGTGGCCCTTGCCAGCAACACAAGTAGTAGCACTGCTGTCTTTTTTTTTTAACAATACTCTATGAAATGACACTGGCAGCACAATCACTGATTGCTGGTTTTAAAGACTTTCCGCTCTTTTCTCTCCTGCCCACTTGCTCTTAGCCACTTTGTCTCTCCAGTTTGAAACTTTGGATGAGGGAACCAGATCCAAGAACAGCAGGTGTTCAGTTTTCCCTCTTCACTAAACTAAAAAACTTTTAAATAAATTTCTTCATTCCTCCCCAAACTTTTGGAACTGCTCTTATCAGGATTCGACGTGTGTAGAAATAATTGAGATGGTAAATTTGAACTGAGGGACATTTTGTGGCTTTAGTGTAAGTAACCAAAATCCTTTTCCTAGCTTGAAATCCCCAATTGCAAACAGGCATCAGTTAAGAGTTAAGCCAACATCTCCCCATAGTCACCTCTGATAAAGAGTAGGTGTGCAAAATCAGTGCTTTAATACCTAGAGTAGGTCTGTACCTAGTTAGGATTTTCAGATTACTGCAGTTTTCTTTGCTATCTTTTTACCCCTCAAGTTTTATTTATGAAAAGGAATAATGGGTTTAAAGTTTCTCCTAGATGACCCTTATACATCAGGGTGACACTTGATGCAGCATCATGATGATGCACAGATGTCTGTTGCATGTATTTGACCCAAACAAAAGATTGTCTGTAGTTCAGTGTTACTGATACAGGTACTGTATCAGCTCTTTAAATTTTCTTTTATGTCTGTGGGTGTAGTTATTTTGGATGCAGCCTCTTCCAACTAGGACATTTTTTTAATTTTTGTTTTTTTTAGGGGGTATCCCTTTACTTGACTTACAATGTAGACAAAATAAATTGAGGATGGAATTAAAATTGTTTTTTTTTTTTTTATTGAATTTAATGATGATGCTTACTTGGAATACTGCAGAAGGTCTGTAGCAGACTTGAGGTTTAGATCATCCCTGCCTCCCTAGGCTAGTTCTTTAGTCTGCAAGTGGGGTGTTTTTTGAAGTGGTTCAAACAGCTACATATCTCTTATATTTACAGTGAAGCTGAGCTGAAAATACAGTGGTCTTTTTGATTGTCTTTGTGCTGACTAAAGGAATCGGGGTTTCCATAATGCAAACTCAAAATACATTAGATACTCAAACTACTGTATTTGACCTGACCAGTGGTCACTGTAGGTGTCTGCTCCACAGCAGTGAAAGCTGGGAGATAACTTCAGAGGTGTGTATGCAGGTACTTACTACAGATGAGTTTACCCATAAGGTATCAACGTGTCATTAGTGACTGTTTTCATCTGTGAGTCCAAAGCCTGCCTCTGCATAGTCACTTCCTATTAAAAGGGTTAAATATATTGACAGGGAAGGAAACTTGGAGGTGAAGGAAACTTTGAGAAGAGGAAAATGCAAACAGCTAAATTATATTTCTGATAATGTTATGCAAGCCTCCCAGGTACAATGTGATTAGATTTCTGTTCTTCAAAACAACTTACAGGTCTCAGATCTTCATTCCTCTCACCAAATGTTTACCTTTTAGTGTCCTGCTTGAGTCTTCCTTTTGCTAGTGTGTTTGGTTATGCTAAAGGACCAACAAGCTGCTGACTTCTTTTGGGTAATAGCAGGGCAAGGGTGATTCACAGAGCCAGCCCACAACTGGGAACCGAAAACAGGATCTGAAAATGGGGAAGGAACCTCTAAATAGAAGTGTTAAAATGAAGTGTGAACACACTCTGCACATACCTACGAGGACTAGTGTTTGACTACAGAACGTGTTGCAGGAGCAGGTCTAGAGATGCTGTATGTAGCACTAAGCAGAGATACACGTTAAGATTTGGTGTAGTTAGATCACTGCCAATGGCACAGTCAGCTTGTGGAAGTGGCCATGGACTGGTTAGTTCTGGAGCAAACCCTGTCTGTTGTTACCTAGCTGTCTGGTTTCTAAGACATGAAGATCAGTCTGGCTTAACTTACCAGTGTTTCTCACTTTGATTGAAATTAGGTTGGTGTTTTTGCTGTCACGGCATCATACCAAGATGCCTTCGTTCTAAAACAGGATCCGCTGTTAGTAGAGTTCATGTGGGAGGAGGATGACTGTTATTTAAATAAATATCAAACTACAGATACACAATTATTTTTAATATAGAGTAGTAGGAGTGGTGGGAGTCTTTTGGTTCTTAAGAAATAACATGGTTTTCCAAATGAGCAGGCTTTGCATAGGGATGAACACTGTACTTTGGGGGCTTTAGAAGCTGTCAGAGGGAATAAATACAAACTTCTAGAACTTACTGATAATTCACTGGTAAAACCTTCCTCAGCAGACTTTGAGGGTGGCAGTTACTGAGTGGGAGCACTACCTTGGAGTTGGTGCTTAGTCTCTCACTTGCACTAGAAAATTCCAATAGCCCATAGTCCCCAGCTGTTTTAATCCCATTATTGCAGTTTGTCCTTGTGCCACCTTCTCAGTATAGAACTGGAAGACCCTGATTCCCCTACGGAGATACAGTGCTGCTGTACCTTAGCTTTAGGCTCTGTTCAAAGCCTGCAGAATTCAGGTCTGGGATCTGGACCTTGCTGGTTGGTTTGCACGTGTCCTTGATTTTTGGCAACTAGCGTTTGAAATACTGACTTTAAGGAATGGAAGCACTCAAGAGAAGTAACAGCTGCATGGTACAGATAATGTCAGTGTTAGTCCTGATGGTGATGACTACATTAATGTAACTACTTGCTGAAAGTAATGTATATATTTGTTTTACAACTGTGGTAAATGTTTTCAATACATAGCCTTACTTTGCAGATGTATGTTACTGCAGTATGAGAGCAATAAAATGTTTTTAAAAGCAAAGGTGACACTAAAGAGCAGAGTTAACTCAGCTAAGCCATGGAATGTAGCATCAACATTTTGTTGCTCTTTCTCTGCTTCTTTGTTATCAAAATTTAGGGTTTTCTTAGAATTTAAGTAACAAAGGATGGGGTAACATGCTTGAGTCTGTAACTTCAGAACTTCTGCCTTTTCTTTTTAAAACGCTAGTTTTTGGTGCAACTTCCATGACTGCTTGTCAGTGTTGCTCTTCTTTTAATAAGGGTTTTGCTCTAGAACAGGCATATAATCATTAAACCTCCTTATTTTAGTGGAGACTTAATTCACACAGGAGAGACAAAAGCCAGAATTAGAAGTGTGCTGTTGACAGAATTATCCTGGCTGTTCTGAAGTGCACTGTTAAGAGGACCCGTAAATTAAAGTGGGGCTGGGGAGGGGGAGTGGGATGGACACACTGGGGCCTCCAGGGGAGACTTAAGTGTCTGCTGGAGCTCATTCCAAGTGTAGGGCTGTATTTAAAAGTTCATCAGTCGTTCAATTAACTCTATTATCCTCTAAATTGAGACTTGAACAAAATATTTTGAAGTCTGTTACCCTTCATTGCAAACTGTTGTGAGTTCATTGTTTGTTCCTATATTTGTTTCTGCAGTTGTGTGTATAAGTGTGTATGCCAGCAGCATTCGGAACAGATGTATAGTGACCTAATAAAAAAGATAACTAACCACTTAGAGAGAGTCTCAAAGGAGCTGCAGGTAAGAAGCTGCACAATCTCATTCTGTCTTTCCCGGGATCTGTGGTTATACCAGAGCAGCATGTAGATGGCCCATGGAGGGGATTGCCATTAAGACTGGTTTATGTTGCCTTAATAAATTGTGGGCTACTTCATTCACAAACTGGCTGTTGGACAGAATACCAGCTGCTAGATCCAATTGCATGGTACTGACTAGCCTTAGAGATCTGAACCATGTGGAGAGCAGTGGCTTTATATTATATAGAGTAAAAGATCAGAGAATGGGAAATCTACAGTATAATCTAGGATGTAAATGCTTCAGTCAAACATGATCTGAGCACATGATGTGGATGCTGCCATCAAGGTCTTAATCCATATGAATGGTTTGTGGGCCTTGTGCATCACAAGCAACACAAAAAGGAAAAAATGCAAGTGAATAAAATATAAATTGTGAAGTATAAATTAGGAGTTATATTGCATATGAAACTTGTGCTATAGTTTATTCTGCATTTTTCTTGCCTATCTCTAGATGTCAGTGGTTTCCAGCAATCCTAATACAGTTTGTGTATCTCTATCCTCTGCATTTTATTTGTGCATCCATGTTTGTTCTCATGTGTGTCCCTTGTTGAAAATTCCTCTCAGGCTAGAACCTCCACACATGTTCTTGAAATTGTCATTGCTGTAGCTGCAACACTGTTTTATTTCTCTGCAGCTTTTGTCACTTCCATAACTGATGTTTGAGTTCTGTACTGACTTGCAGTGCATCAGGTAGAGATGCCTGAAATACAGCAGTGCTTCTATAACAATTGGTAACTCATTTCTGTCCGTCAAAAGCAGTCTTACTACTCTTAACTGCGTCAGGTACTTCTGGCTACTTGTGCTTTGCCATCAGAATCCAGCACTGTGACCGCTCTGACACCCTTCTTGTTGTACTCTTTTCCTCTTGATGCTTTTCCTTACAAGGAAAAACAACCACCCTGCATTTAATGGGCTTTGACAATCAAATAACAAGGTCACCTTGAGCTAGATTCTTTGCTTCTTTTCTCTATTACAATTCCTTTATTCCTTGTGGAGTGACATCTTCACCGTTCTGTAAAAATTTGTTAGAATAGATGGACATAGTGTTTGAAATAAAGCCTTCACTTGGTTCTGCTGAGCTGATGCAGCCTGTACATTTTTCTTCTGCTTGTGAGAACTAAGAGCTGTTGCAGCTATACAGGTTTGGCCAGTTTTTCTGACATATCCCATGGTGGTGCACTGCATTGCTTTGCTTTGAATTCAGCGATACCCCAAATCCTTTACTCTGTAGTAGTCCCTGATTATTTTCTCTGAAGTTCCAAAAGTGACTGAGGCAGCTACTTTTCAAGTTTGCTTTAGCCCACATGTGCATTAAATGCTTCTGCCTGAAAAACAAGGCTGTGTACTGAACATCAGCTGTTGAAAGAACAATTGAGAAAACTATTTAATGCAATCTTTGTCTTGCAAAAGTTTCCTTATGTAGGTTAGACACACCTTGTGACAGGTGGCAAGAGGACTATAATATATCATGATACAATCTTTGAGTGTACTAAGTTTTATCTGTCACGAGCATGAGTTTGGTTTTGAATGGTAAATTGTATCTTTTTGAGATGCTTGAAGTAAAACTCGTATGCCTTAGAAAATTGTTTTAGCTGTGAATTGTGAAACTTGCTCTTAAGAAATTACTTTACTACAATATATATTATTATCCTGATAGTTCCTTGATCTTAATACATTTTGGTGACACTCAGTCATGGGTTTTATGTTGAAAATGTGCTGCTAGATATTTACCCCAACAACAACAAATTACTTTGTAAATGCTGGTTACTTGGAAGGTTCTGGTTCATGTGGGCAAACAATAAAAAAACCTCATATGTGTGAATCGTTTTAATGCACAATATGAGGTGTTTTGCTTTCTCTGACAAACTCATTCCTCCTGCCAACAATATTTAATGTAATTGCAGAGTTGTGTTTAATTGTCAAGGTGTGACTTGATGCAAGATAATTTATTTTTTTTTATGTGCAGAGATGCAAATGTAGCCCAACATAAGCAGGAGTGTTGGTTTGTGTTAGAAAGCAGTTAATCATGAAAACTGAAGTGGCAAGTGCAGTGTCTCATTCTGGATAAGTCAAGCAACATCTTTGTGTGGAAGTGCAACAGTTCAGTTGCAGAATATTGGTGGATTGCAGAATATCTGCATGTAACCAGCATGCCAGAGCAATCTGTTTCCTACAAGAACCACGCATCGACAGCAGAAGCGATAGAACTGTCAGATACCAGCTGGAAGTGGGAACACACTCCCTGTGAACACACTCCCTGGTCATTCCCTGTGTGACTTGTACTCTTCAGACTGCAAGACACCTTGTGTGGCATTGGTGTTTGTCACCATGTGTTCTCCTGAAGGTCTGCTTCTCAGGTCTTCAGCTAAAAAAGCCAATATAATTTTCAGTGGTGGCAGAGGGATTATGAAAATGTGGGTGGCCTGATGTATTCTGTGTGTTAGACGTTGGGTGAAAAGCAGTGAGCGTTGCCTGCTGAGTAATAGTACATTTAGATGAGATGAATTGCTTGTGATCAGACCATCAGCTCTTTCATATGGGGCCTACTCCATCCATAGACTTTTCTAACTCCCTCCTTAATAGGTGTGTAAGCAAATGATCCTCTCTTCAGGCTGTTTTAGTTATGGAGAGACTCTGAGCAAGGATTACCTTCCTTGCTTGCAATTGACGTCTGACAAGCTTCTCTGCATTAGTAAGAGTGGGTTTTGCCATGTGGAGCTTCCAGTAACTGAGAATTAATTTTCCTTAATTCTTGAGTTGATCATAATTTTGGATTTTTCTCTGCTGAAAAAAAGTGTCTGCAGAAAACAAATGAACATGTTTCCTGTTGCCTTGAGGTCTGTGAAGCTTTTTGTATACCGATATTTTTCCGAGATTCTTTATTTAGAAACGTTTTATTGGTAATGGACATAGCCCATTATGTTGTGGTTTAAAATAATGACAGCTGTTTTTGTGGGTCAGTGCTGAGTTGTTCAGATGTGTGAGATGGGGTGCGTGCACAGGCATATGCTTTCAAATCAAATACATCTCTTAAAATGAATAAAGCTGTTTGGCACTAGTGTTTCTGGCTCACCTTGTTGCACTCTGATAAAGTAATTTAAAATCAAGTACTGTGCCTATTATGCATCTCCTCAGCAAAAGATACTGGAAAGTACTTTGTGCATTGACAATTAAAATGCACTTACCCACAACAAAAGCAGCTTTCTTGTGCAGGTGTAGTAGAACGTTTTCATTTTAGTTAAAATAATGTAATTCCTTTAGGAAATGACTGAGAGCTGATAAGCACTTCTTGGTCACGTTGCACCTTCTTATTTAGGGAAAAGAGAAAAAGGGATCTTTGAGTTTTGTGTTGGATTTTGGTTTTTTTTTGGTTTTGACCAGAAACAGTTGAATTTGGTAACATAATTTTTATGTTCTTTGAAGTTAATAAGTGAGGATCAGTCTTTCTCTGAGTAAATAAACACTTGTTTGTCTGCATTATTTCTATTTTAAATGAAATAGAAGTGGTAGAGCTAAATTACCAGAATTTTTTGCTTAAATTCCCTCTGTCTGAAGGCTTTGGATAAATTTGGAGCCATTTGATGATAGTGTACTTTGGCTCTTGAACATAGGGCTTGGGGTTTTTCTTCCCTATTATGTCTTGAGATACGTATGAGTGGGTGTGTGTAACTTTATCATGAACAATATATTTTTTGTTTATAATGAACATGGCTGAACTGAGCAGTTCCTGGTGTTGGTAGATAATTTGCCTGGCGGCTGGGTGACCCCCAGGACCTGCACGTTGAGAGCTTTCACTGTGCAATGCCAGAAAGCTGTCCTGCCTCATATTAATCCTTACAACTTCTCAGCCTTCTGTCTCGTCAGCTCTCAAACCAGTCTGTGCAGCCTACAAAAATACCTTCTCACCTATTGCTTCCTTGGAAGGGTATACATTGGAGACAGCTTACTGTAAAAGCCATTCCACTCTTTTGAGGACTGCCAAACCTTGGTAACTGAGTGCCTCATATCACGTCGCTGTTGGTTGCCATCTGTTCTTAGTTATGTCTGTTGTGGACAACCTGTTCCTTCCTTGCCTTCTCCTTTCTTCCCTTCTGGCTTACGTTTAACCTTCCACTCGTCCCTGGTGGTTGTCTGGAGTTCAGCCATGCCGTGGTGAGGAGCCTGTCATTTCCTGCCCCAGCTCCTTCTGAAACGTTAATCTGATTAATACAGATGCCTTATGCCAAACTTCAGATTAGGTTCTGAACTTGCTTGTTTGTCTTTTAGAAACAGTTGTGTAACTTCCAGTATTACTCCTGATTACAGGAGTAAAGGCATGAAGCTTAAATAGCTTGTTATGTTTACCCTGTGAGCTTCGCCTGTAGTCAGGGTGGTATAAAAATGCATCCAAGTAATGCTTTGAGGGACTGGTTAAACTGAACTTCTGACTGAGGGCAGAGCTATCTAGAGTACCAGCTCCACAGCAATTCTTTATATTTACACTTTAAGGTTATTTTACTCCAGATTTTTTTGCAGATACATTTTACTTTCCTTCCAAGGGACACTAATGATTACATTACCTCTATATAGTGCTATACTGCAGTTGAGTAGTTATGCCACTCTCTAAAATAGAACTTTTGACAATATCATCTGTGGATGTTTTTTGTGTAAACTTAGTAAATCAGGTTGCTACTAAGCTATGATGAGACTTTAGTGATGTACTTGTGGGACATAGTTGCAGTAGCTTCTCAAACAGTTCAGTAGATACCAAATGTGCCTCCTTTATATTCTGCCTATAGAAAAGGTCAGAAAGAAGTGAAAAATGGAAATTGAGAGCTTGCATTTCCCAACTCTCTTCTAAGTATGTTAAATCACTAGTGTTTCTTAAAGTCCATTTGGATCACTTCATGGTCAGTCTGTTTTTTAAAGAGGAGACTCAGACTGGTCATTTGTCTGGTCTGTAATATTGAAAAGGGAAAAAAAAAAAAGACTCAAAAAAACCAACCCACAAAACATCCAGTGGTGTAGGCATTTATCCATCAGTTATGCTGGGGAAACGTTGCTTAATTTTGTGTTGAATGAGTCTTTACAGCTGTGAATTACACTGAATTGAATCAAATCAAATGACTGATCAGTGTTAGGACTCAGATGGCCGAACCCAGAAGTGTTAGAAATGCGTTTATCTTCGTGTGTGAACATCAAAAAATGGTGGGTTTTGACTTGAGGTAGAGGATGGGGTCACCATAGTGCCAGAAATGTCATTTCTAATGGCTAACCTGAGAAAGGCATCCTTCCCTGCAGCTTTTTGAAAAGGCTTCTATTCCTGTAGCCATTTTTAGTTCCTCGCCACACTACACTGGGTGCTTCAGAGCCTGATACAATTACAGCAAGATATAAATAAACACAGCACAAATGAATATGTATTAACTAGATGGGAAAGGTGCTGAAGGTTTCTCACTACTAAGCAGAGTTTTGATGGCCCTTGAATACAATAGCATTTTGCTTTACAAACATGTAGAATGGAAATGGAAACACGGCCTGTGTCTGCTCTCTTGCTCTGAGACAATTATATGAGAATATATCACCCTGCTGCACAGCTCTGATCAGTTCTGAGTGCAGGCTTGAGTAGGAAGACAGTCAGTCTTTGAATGAGTTGTACTTTGATTTGATGTCTGTTTTTTTTCCTGTAAAACATTTTAATAGTACCCTTTCGTAGTGAGCTAGACGTGGGCCATCGCATAAATTGCCTGCCAGACAAAGTAAACAAATTACATTTTCTTGAGAAAGAACAAAAAGTGTTTTGAAAGATTCAGACCACTTACATGAATAGCAGGTTAATTTGGGTAGCTGTAGCCATTCTCTCTTTCCACTTGGCAGGCGTGGGAGGGATGCTGCAGCATGTATGCTGGCGTTTGGACAGTGAGCAGGTTCCCAGGAAAATAGAGCTGCCTGTTCACCATAGGAGCGTAAGCTTTACCGACTGTTTCACTGATTGTGCCAGACAACTGTTCATAAACAGGTTAACTTTGTGTTCCTCAAGCAAAGAACAGTTGTCACCGTTTGTTTCTGGAAAGCTATGTCTGAGTTGTCATGAACCAGCAGCACGTCCCCTGGTTCTGTTTGTATGTTCAGTTAAAGAATGATATTCAAAGTGGTTTTCAAACTGAAAAAAAACACATCTTTTTAATGTCTATGGTTCCTTGCCCACAGGTTCATTGAAATGCCTAGATATTAGATCTCAAATGAGGAAGGGTAATTTAGTTACTATACTTGGGTCTCTGATTGCTTGTTTTGCTTGAAGTTATCTGTCTTACATGTCATCCTTTCTCAAATGTGTTTTCTTGTTGCTTCTCATTTCACTTGGTGCTGAGATGTCCACTATGGTGTGTAAGGAGATTAAGTTCTTTAGGATCATTTTTTTTGCAGCAGCAGCCATAGTATTTAGTGCCAGGAAGCAGTTGTCTCAGAACCAAGTAGCTGATGTTAAGCAAGTGTGACTGCATCACAGTTTGAGCGACCTGGCCAAACATTCGGCGCTCCCATAGATTGACACACTAGATAGTTGCTACTGAAAAACTGTTCTTAACCTTGGCAGTGGTAGGTGAGAGCAGATGTAGGAGAGGTTTAAAGCTGTCTCTCCATATAGTGTCTTAATAAAAACCTAAACCAAACTGAATTGACAGTTTGATAGGATTTAGGATGGGTAATAAAGGATCCTTTCCCTTCCTGGGAAACCTTAGGCTAGCAGTATATTTTTCTTTTAATAGCTTCTGTAATACTTCCCTCAGGTAAGACAGGAGTGGATTTAAAGACTTAATACTTTCTGGGGGGTTGTAAGAAGTAAGTGTCATGATTAATTCCACCCCTCACCCTGTAATTAAAATAGCTGAATGTATGTGCTATCTTTTTTCAAACAGGACCAAGAGTGAAAAATGTCAGCCTAAGCAGTTTCTTTGTTTTTAATAGTTATAGCTGAATAAATACAGACTTTAAATGTAAGTTCTACTCTAGCCATTCAATAGAAAAATCTTAGCAAAGTCTATTTGACATCAAGCTGGGTGCCATGCACTGGGTTTTACTTTATAAAATTGTCTTTTATATAAAGCTAATCCCACTGCAGTTGCTGTCTTACTCATGTGAATGTGGAGATGTGGGGAAAGTGGCTGTGCTCAGACAAGGAATTGATGTCCATCTAGGAGCTTTGAGTAGCCATACAGTAACACCTTGATGAATAGAAAAGAGATTGTTCTGTTTTCCACACACAGATCACAATGATTCATCGATGAGCTGTGAAAATACTGTCATTGATTTCTGTTTGGCTTGAGGTTTTTGTTATTTAAAAAGCAAGCAATAATTGAGGAGAGTTTGGTTGACAAGCTTGGGTTTTTTTTTTTTTGGCACCAGGCAGAGTCGGGTAGCGTGTGCTTTTCTGTTAGTGTCTGGGCTGTTGAGTCTTGACATGAAACACTGGCAGAAGAATAAAACAAAGGAAACATCTCATGCTGATAAAGCAGTTAAGACCATGATTTTGCATTTCAGAGATTAAGGCCTGGTATTTGCCTGACACTAGTGAGTGCTTCATTTGATGCTGTCAGGACTTTTCTTGGCTTTTTTCGGTCTTTATCTACAGCAGTAGTTTTCCTCTTGGTTGCAAGGTGGTGGTGATCAACAGGTATCCTTCCATGAAAGGTCTCTTGAGGTTGTTATCAGGAGACAGCTGGATGTGCAGTTGTTCCCTCTTAAAATGTCTCTCTTAGTGTGACATAGGCTTTGTGAGGTGAGCTGGCAGAGTTTCCATCCTCAGTGGAGGAAGAAGATGGTAATCCTTAATGTCCCCTGTAAAAAGTGGCAGACTGGCTGTTACACCATCACCTCGAGTCTGTTTATGGGATTAAATCACATTTTCCAGACAACTTCTGTCTTTGTGTTTGGGTTTTTTTTTTTAATGAAAAGTATAAACTGTCAGTGTGAGAAAAGTGGTGCCCTGTGTCAGGCTATGATCTCCTTTTGTCTGACACGTCCTTTGAAGTAGAATTTTTCTTTAATCTTAGAAGCTTTATACCAAGTCTTTACAAATCAGAGATTATAACCACATGTAAAGCTGAGGTTAAAAAGGAGTGAAGCAGGAATACATACTGCTTAGAAATGCAGATTTCATTGCATGTTATTTGCAACAAATTATACCTGTAACTGTATATGAAAGGGAGTCCTTGGCGTTCGTAGCTACTTTTATACATTGTTGGCATTTAGAACTAAAATTTATTTGGCCACCCCTGAGAACTGCATCTGCAATAAGATTAAAAACTTATGATCAAAATAAGGAATAACCATATATAACCTTTGGCAACAGCATGTGGAATAACACTTTTATTCCTTTGCCAGTTTTGCTTTCCTTGCTGAAACGTCTGCTTTGTATCGGTGTTTGCTGTGAAAACTATCTGTGTGTCCATTAAGCATATTAAGGAGGGATGCAAAAGAAACTAGAGGAAAAAACTTGCATAAATTTAGAATATGTAATAGAGCAGAAAGTCAACATAAATTCTAACTGTCCTCTTAGAGCCCCTGGTGAATGTCCATACACAGGTTGAGATATCTACTTCATAAAGATAAGAGCTTTAAGTTCCAACAAGGTGGTCAAGGTGCAGCTAGCCTTGAGTGTTCCTCATTATGCAGATGATTTGACTTTAGAAAAATCTTTAAGCTTTTTTTCTTGCAAGGTCCCAGTAAAAACATAGTAAAACATAAAAACTGTGTCCCCCATTAAAACAGTAGGGACAGCAGGAGGGGTTGGGCCTGTGGCAGAGCACTGTATCTGAGTGGGTTTGGATGGAGAGGGGGATAGTGGAGGAACATGTTACCCCAGCTCCACGTCCGTCCCTGGGTGTGTAAGTGCACTCCTGAACACTGTCTTCCCCTCCATCCCTCCAGATAAATATTTATGAAAGAAACAGTGGTTATTGCTTCCCATTTTTGTGGTTCCCTTCTCAATTTAACTTGCCTTGCTGCAGAAGAGAGCTTTTCAGCTTCCTGGTTTCCTTCTTTGGGAAAGATGGTGTAGTACACAAACTAGCAGTGCTGTCACTGTGGGCTCTACAAGGCTTACTATAAAGTTGGGACATACAGGTTTTGTGTAGCTGTTTTGTTTGGGGCTACAGGGGGTGATGCTGTGTAGATTTGTGGGTCTGGAGTGCAGGGTGCCAGATGTGGAGTTTTATCTGACGACATTGCTTTGTAGTCCCTCCAACTCAACACCCTAGATACTTAGGTGGCCTTAGGTGACCCAGCAAAAACTTAAAAATGTTTTCTGTGAAGGACAGTGCTCCCTGGAGCTGGGAGATGTGCCACTTGCCAGCTCAGATGCAAAGCAGCAGCTTAAATTCCACCCTGCTGTCTTGGGATAGAAGCCTGCAGGGGGGTTGGAGCACATACCTCAGCACTGCTGAGATCGAATTGTGGATTCTAGGAGTGACAGTTCTTTCAAAACGAAGGTCTTTCATAAGTGTTTTTATTTGCATATGCTAAATGCTAGTTTGTTACAGGCACGTTGTATTTCTTACTGAATGGACCTTTTGCTGGGCACTGACACATAGTCCTAGGCAAGAACCAGTTACTGAAGAAAACTGCTTTTGCTGGAGGGAGTTAGAGCAGAAACTCTGGAATGATGTGTGGCTTGCTTTGTGTGGAACTAGTGTATCAAATACTTTGTAGCTTTTTGAGTTTGCTATGAAAGCATAGCCCATGCTGTTCCAGATCTTTCTCTTGTTCAAATTACAACCTGACTTTTACGGTTTCTTGCAGGCCAGCCCTCCAGATCTCTATATTGAAAGATTTAACGTAGCTCTTGGACAGTATATGGGAGCATTGCAGAGCATTGTGCCTCTTTTCATATATATGGTAAGTTTTAGAAAATTCTTTTCAAATAAAGTATGTCCATACACAAGATGCTGACTTAAATGAAAAAAATATAATGCATCTATAATTATTTTTAACTTGTAGGACTTAAAATTCATGCCTGGTTTTGCTACCACAGTGTTGATCAAATTGTGTGGGGAGAGGAAGGAGAAGCTGTGCTTTTAAATGCAGAGTTTTGCAATGGGTTTCTGCCCTAATATTTCTTTCCTGGGAGTGGGGGAAATGATTTTTATTTGGGTTATAAAAAAGCCTTCCCAAATAATTGGGTCATTATATCTTTTTGAACAGGGATAGTTTGGTACTTAGTTTGGGCAGGCTACAAAGATGATTATATCTTGCTTTTAAATGACAGAAATTCAGACAAGACAGAAAGAAATGACTCTTGGAAATGTCTGTGTCACTAAAGCAGTTTAGAACATTGGCTGCAGACAAACTTAGGTTCCTAGCACTGTCAGGCATACTTGCAGGGATTCAGAAACTGCTGGCTAAAGGTCATGCTGATGTTGTAATTTATGAAGTCTTCAATAACTCTGAAGAAGTCTATAATTTGCATCATTCTTGTCAAACTTTTTTTTTTTATGGTAATGAATTTAACTTAAGCTTGAAATTCTTCTACCAGAATCCATCCTTGCATTCCTTGCACTTGCATCACTTAGAAATAAAAAAAGAAAAAAGGAAGTATTTGTTGGGAAAAAACTTTTTCTTTTTTTAGTGAAAAAAAAAAATACTCAAAGCTGATTAGATTGAATCTTTTCAAAGTTCTCCTTAATGGTAGCTTTTAGAAGGCTCTTCTGTGTTTCAGTGAATGTATCTGAAACCAGGTAACTTGCTGCAGTCTTTTAGTGTCATGTTACCATACAGGTTTGTTTCATTAAAAGAGGAACTTGCCTTTCTTGAACTGGGTATCTTCTAGCCTGTTCTTTCATCTAGTTATTACAAAATGGAACCCAGTTGTTCCAGCTTCACGTGTAAGCTAAGGGATATATTCCTAGTGATCATCTTTTTCTCCTGGCTTCTGTCATGAAGTGCTGGGGAAAAAAAATAGGAAGAGGCTTTTCCCCCTGTTGCATTCAGATATTTTTAGATGCTAGCCATTTTTTTTCCACCTATGTGTACTTAACTTGTTTATTACAGGCAGGAGTTGAAGCAGTCTCATAATTTAATATCCATTTACAAATAGAGATAAGCTGTTGAAGTGTGTACTTTTATTGAATGCTCAGTTCCATCACAGAGTTCAAAGTCTATACTTAACAATTAAGACTGCAGTAGCTAACATTGAAAAAATGCTCCTGATAGACATATGAACAAGCAAATTTTATCAGTATAAGCCTTGTCTGTATGACCAGACAAGGTATAATTGCTAAATAGATTTCCAAATCATTCTTTGTACACAGTGATGCTGTGGTGGTTGTATTTTCAAATGAGCAGTGCTTAATATCCCATTTTTTTCCTTTCAGAGTCTAAGTCTAACTTATACCTGAACATAGTACAAATGGTTAATGAGTAATAAACACACCTGGAAAATCAATAGTTACATAGTAATTTTTTTTTTTTAGGACAAAAAAGTGAAGTACTCTATCATGTTAAAGGAGAAGCTTCTTTAAAGCATGGCTAGTGATTTGTTCAGGCAGTAAGACTCTGTTCCTGCAAATGCTTCCTCATTTAAGTGGCTTAATTGAAATTAGGCCTGAGAGTTAGTGACTTGTGTTGGTTCCTCCTGCTGCCAAATGCAATGCTGATTTGGCTCAGCTACATAGTTGATTTTGAAGGCTAATGTCAAATTAAGTCTCATACTTTTTCTTTGAAATAATTTATTAATCAGTGTTGTGCATGGTGTGGAAAATATCTCTAGAGAAGTCAGGATGAAAAATATTTTCTTATCTTAATTTTTTTTCTGTATGAATTTGAAAGTACTTGTATGTACAGCCACTCCTGCAGTTTTGCATTGTAGCATCTAATCAAGTTTTCTCTTGCAGTTTCCTTTATTTAACGAAGAAAATACAATTAAAAAACAATTACAAGAGGTGAAAGCCTAATTATTCCACAGTATAAATTAGAGCTTTGGAGTTTCTTTAATAGGTACTTTCAATGTATTTTTAAATGAAGAGGATTAAGTTGTTGAATTCTGCCTTTATATCAGAGGTGGCAGGGCTTTCCCTTTTTGGTAGTGTTGTGATGGCTTTAATTAGGAGTTTCCAAAGCTCTTAAGTTACAGTGGTAAACTTTGTTCTGACAGGATAATTACATTGCTGCTTAGGAAAACTTTTAATATACATTTAAATATTTTTTAAAAATCTCTGAAGCGAAGGGAAACCCAAAGGGTTTCTTAAAAACTTACTTTTAAAATTTTGCCTTAGGCTTAGTCCTGTGTGTTTATATGTCAGCAGCAGCACTTTTCTTCTTTCTACTGATGTGTGCCAAACCACGTTCTTGTCTGTGAATGGTGGGAATACAGGAAAGGTGCTTTCTTAACCTGCTTGTATATGGTGACCAAGGTAAGCTATGTTTCTGAGCTCACCCTGAGTGATGCCTGAGAGGGCTGACTTTGCAATTGAAGGAGTTTTATTTTTCCTTCTCTTGCTAGGAGCACTAGTGGTTTTCTTTTTCATGTGGTGATGGATTTTTTCAGTCTTGTGCTGCTTCAGCGGACTTCTAGAGAAATCGTGGAGGCCCAAAGCACTTCTGTCACCAAAAAATTCTGTGGGTTTAAGCTCCTTCAAGAGTTCCAGGATGTAACTGCAGATAAAGCAAATTAAACTGGAAGTCAGCATAGCACATAGTACTTTATTCTGAAGAATAATTCCTTGTGAATAAATGTTTGCTTTGTAAATCTAAATGAGATTATTCTGGATGCTTATAGATTGTACTTCTTACAGTATGCTACACACATGAATAATAATCATATTTCCACTTCAAGAAAAATTAAAATCAGCATTGAGATGATATACTTCTTTATAATGCATTCTCAATTGTTAATTATGCATAGAGATGTAGCTGAAAATCTGTTATCTTTTGGCATTAAATGAACTGAACGTTTGTGAGCACTGTGGTTTTAGGATAGTTCAGAATATTTTCATTGCCTCTAAAATATTACTGTCCTTATTGGGTGGAATTGCTTTTCAATGCTTATCAGCTAGAGGGCATTTTGTGTGTCTGTATACAGAAATATCTGTATACAGAAATATCCACATATATATACACTTGCATATGATACACTGTTTTCTTTTTCAAGTATGTATTGCTCTCCTCTGAATGTTGACACAATTATGTGTCTTAACATTTGCCAGATTGCTTTATGATATGGTGGTTTGTAGAAGTGCTTCTGTCATGTCTGACTTTCTCAGTTGTTGGTATCTGCTTACCATTAATTTCCCTGCTAGTTAGACCTGTAGGTGATTTGACACTTGTCACTAGGCTGTACCAATATTTCTTGAAATCTTACACAGAAAATTTTCCTGTTTTTCCACTAATGTAAGAATAGGGAATGTAGCAGCCCTTCTGCTATTTCCTTTCAGCACTGTGGATTGGAAATGAAGTACTTATACTAGGTGATTTTTTTTACTTTTATATTTTAAATATTCTCTATTTAAATTTTGCATGTGTAACATCTGTTTGGGAAGATGTTTTCAAGTGGACAAATGTGAAGAGTATTTTACAGTTCTAGGTATAACTACTGTCTTGTAACTCTTCTCCTCATAACTTTTGGGATTTTTTGTTGCTTGTCTAGTTATGAAACTTAAGGTGTAGGCTTTTCAGCTCCTAAACAGAAGAAAAGCATTACAGTTTGCACGTGTTGTTGCCAGCTGCTTTCAGTGTAAGAAAGTCTGGGGGCTGGGAAAGGAACAGCCTGAGTTGTTCCCTTAGCTGTGTGTGTCTCATCTGTCAGCTCAGAAGAGCAGTTTGATGTTGCCAGGCTTGGTTCTTGTCGTGCTGAGATGCTCTGCTCATTCCTGTGGGTCTTCCACCAGTGGGCACGTGGTGCTATGTGGTCAGAAAGCTCAAGGTGGAAGTGGTTTGGGAAGTTAGGTCTGATGAAAGACTAGTATGGGGTGTGGTTGAACACTTACTAGAAGATGTGTATGTTCTGTTGTGTTAATTTTTTTACAATGGCAATTCACTATTGACCCAAAACACTGTAAGTGAAGTTAATCTGTTTCTTGTAAAACAGGTTATTCTGTCTGTAGAGCCTTTCTCTGTCTGTTGAAAGAACAGGACTGGGTGAGAGGGGAACAGCTGAGTAATAGCCCTTGATAAAACCTCTACAGGTAGGACAGCTTCAGGGAGAGAGTTGGCAGAGGGAAGTTGCTAAATTTTTATTTTTAAGATTGTTCATCACTGCAACAAGCCTAAAGTTCAACAAGGACATGTGTCCAGCCCTCAGATTGCCTTTGTTCCAACAGGTTCAGTTTTCATTGCTGAAGGCTTGTCTTGAAAATTTAAGTGATTGCTGCATGAACAGTTTATTATGGTATGTGTAGAGGTTTGGTAGTGACCAAGAGAGTGGGTTTCACAAAAAAATGTGAAGATTGCTCGCATTGTGTTCTGAGAGTTTGTTCCAATTATGTTAAATACTGTAGCAAATAGGAGAACAACTTTAAATAAAGTGTAGAAAACCTTTCTCCCTTAAGAGATTCCTTCCCCCAATAAATCTGTCAGATTACTGTTCCACTGTGTGATTCTTAAATTGATATTCTGTTACAGTATAACTCTTTTACACAAGTTGTCCAGATGAAAACAGTTGTTCTACTTCCATGCTAGTGTTGTAACAACAGGAGATTGATCTTGAAACAATTATTTTTTCCAGCTTTTGAAACCCACCTATAAATAAAATACAGACAAGAGATCTTACTGTTATTTGCAGGCTGGGAACTAAGGAATAACACCAAACAGTCCATTAGGTATAGAGGCCCTCAAGGAACCCATGAATACATTTTCCTTTGAGGGTTGAAGAGGTAAATGTATTATTAATGCTGAAGTGGACAAGATAATAGAATCCTGAAGATTTTAATGCAGTTCAGTTTTGTATAGATTTGTATGTATCACTTACTTCCACTGTTGATTAATTCAGAGATTATCATTGAACCACAGAGGTGAATAGCTGTACTGATGTGTCTTTATTGTAACATACCTATTTTAGTGGCTTAATCACCTTTAGACATTGATAAATTTTTTTTGTTGCTGTTATAAATGTTATGTCCAGCCCTATTTTGATGTTAGAGCATTTATGAAGTTCTAAAATAGAATGGCTTTTTCTAGAAACTCCCCAGTCTGGCTTGATACAGAACGATATATGTAGATAAAGGGAAAAATCATGCATGCCTGTATGGAAGGAGGTTTGCTACCAGTAGTACCACATGCATTCTTAACCCTAATACATGGTTTTTTTGTTGTACAGGAATGTTCTATTTAGTATAAATGCAGTCACCAAGGAAGCACTTCACAGGCCACATACTCCACAGCTTTAAAGTTATGAACTATTTTTATTCAGGGGAAAAAGTAAGTTTACTTTATTTGCTGTTATGGAAAAAAAAAAAAACAACTTTGAAAACTTTTGTCTTATTTTGCAGAATAAATTTTACATAGAAACCAAGCTTAACAGAAACTTAAAAGATGACCTTATAAAGCTGTTTACGGAACACGTTGCAGAGAAGCACATTTACAACCTGATGCGTAAGTAAACTGATTGAATTTTTCTTAAAATGGGAGCCTGGAAGACAGCAGTACTTTCAGATACTGCAAACATCCACAGCAAACAGGGAGAAAATGGCAAATGCTTAGTGAACTTCAATACAAATGCCTTTTTAAGGCACCCATGTGAAGATGTGTGGCACCCTAACTTGCTTTTTTAAAAAATGTGGCTTTCTATGAAGTCATGATTTTCTTGAGTGTCTGGAGGAACCAATATATATTTTCCTTTATGACTTGTGATTATGACATAACAAATGTTTTATTGTCCTGTGGCTTATGCTGTTACTCTTTAGTTTCACTATCAAAATGCTGACAGGTATCATTAGAAATGTGTTGTGGTCAAAGACTTGTCATACTGCTGGGATTGCTGTCATGATGTACTCAAGTGCTCCTTGCTTGTTAGGGAACTGCATAATGCTGATGGTGGTTTCTCTGTTAAGCTAATGGGTTAATGCAAATTGAATCTGCTTCAAGTGATATGCTTCCCATTAAGTGCTCCTGTGGTGAACTGCTGAGTTTGCATTCAACCTGCCACCATTGATGTGTGTTTGTGGGAACATAGGGACCTTGCTCTTGTCCTGGTTAGTTCCTTGAGAGGGCAGTTAGTACAGGCAGAGGTGGACAGAGTGCTGGGAGGATCACAACTGTAGGTGCTTTGTGCAGCTGGATAGTTCCCGTGCCCAGTGTTGAGTTCAGTATCTAGCCTGGTGTATTCTTTTCTGTGACCCAGACCTGCTGCAGTGTGTGTTTTCATATCTGTGCTCCTCTCCTCTTTTCTGAGGTAGTCCCTATCTGTATGCTAAATGGAGACCAAATGGTGGAGATCAGAGCTGAGTACGTTCCTCCTTTTGCCTTTACTCGAGTAGTAAGGGCTGAGGGAAAGGAGCTTTGCTGTGTTCTTTAGAGTCACTGAGTTGGCTTCCTGGCAGAAGGGTGGGTGAAGAAGGTGACTCCACTAAGGTCAGGGAACATGGTAGCCTATAATAATGGGAGATCATCAGCTCTGATGCAGTCTTGTTCTTGCCATCTGGAAAAGTCTACCTAAGAAGAGCTTCTAGCCTTAGAATCATAGAATCCTTAGGGTTGGAAAAGACCTCCGAGATCGAGTCCGACCATCAACCCAACGCTGCCTTGACCATTAAACCATGTCCTGAAGTACCACATCCATGCATTTTTTTTGAACACCTCTAGGGATGGTGACTGTACGGCCTCCCTGGGCAATCTGTTCCAATGCATCACCAATCTTTCAGTAAAGAAATTCTTCCTAATATTCAATCTGAACCTCCCCTGGTGCTTGGGTTTCATTTCAGTCTTACTATCAGTTTATTAAAACAACACTATATTTCTTAATTTACTCCTGAGTAATATAATATAGACTCACACATATAAACTTCTAACTGTGATCTGACTTGGTTACATGTTGGAGAAGAAATCTAAATTGAATTAAAATATCCATAAATAAATTTCTAAATTTGCTAACAGATGCCTGGGAAATAATTGACGATGCATGGCATGTGATATGGTACTATAAAGGTACTGAAAAAGTTCTAATCTTATGTCATTTTCTGCTGTTCTTTCTAGTTTGCTGAAATTCAGACTGTAATATCTAAGAATATTACCTTCATTTTTATAACTATAAGAGCTCTATCAAAATAGGATTTAAGTCAGTGCTTGTTAACTACTTCCTGATGTCACTGCGAGTGTCTGATATTGTTTCCTGATACTTGATGTAGATTTGTTTCAACAGAAAAATGATTTTTTTTATTATGAGGGGAGAGAAAATAAGGTTTTGAGTGGACATGCCTAGGACATTCAAGTCAATTAAATTGCGGTCTATGTAGAGAAATGGAGTCCTGGGGTTGTATTTTGAAGAGATGGTGCAGTTGCCACTTTGGTGAGAAGCAGCATGCCTTCCCTCTGGTTCAGGAAACAAACAACAAAATCAGTTTAGGTTTTGATCTAGACTTGGAGGACAAGAATAACATCTGCACTTGCTCTTGAAATTCGTTGCTATATTTCTCGTACAAAGGGGGTTTTGTTTGTAGTCTCTTGTCATTCTAGCAGATCCTGGAAGCTGGTGTTTCTATTTGAAGTTGTGTTCAGGAAGGACTGTAAGTATATTTCAGGTTTATTTGATTTAAGAAAATGTTCTTGCTCAACTTCAAAAGATGAGAAAAAAAAAAATTGACAAGCATTGTGGCACAGATCTCTTCCTTCGTGTTTGATCTCTCTCAAACTCCCACTGGCTGAGTCGGCTGTAGTCCTGGTGATGTGTGGGTGAAGGCAGGAAGATGCAAAATGAACTCCTGGTACCATGCTCTCTGTGGCAGAAGCACTTATCTGAGCACTTAGTTGCAGGAAATAAAGAGATTAAGATGTGAAGTCATTATTTACAGAAGACGTATTGCCTCAGTGAACTTTATTTCAACAAATTTTGCCTGCCCAATCACACACTCGTTTCCTTTTTGAGAAAGGAAATTTAAAAAAAAAAAAACAAACCAAAACAAAACCAAAAAAACCCTACAAACCCTCTACTATCTAGAGCACTTCTGAGCAGCTAAAATACATAGTTATCTAATACACAGATCCATGAACACTGTTGTATTTGTGAAACACTCTTACACCCACATATTAAGGCAATGCTCTTCAAACTAAGGTGGATGTGTTTGAGCTTGGTCAATTTAACCTGAGTGGTTTTTTTCTTACAAAGGCAAAGCTGGCTCCTGCTGATAAGGCTGCTGTATTAAATGGCTTGGGAGAAATTGCTGTGTGCAGAACTACTTAACTGACTGTAGCAAGCCAAAGATACAGCATCTTATTTGCAAGAAGCGTCAGAAATGGGGTGGGGGAAGATGCAGCTGATACCCCACTGTCACTAGTGAAGGGAGGGTGGAGAATGCTGTCTTTGTGCCCGTTGGAGTCCCGCATGAGATGACTGTAAGCAGGAAAGAGCAGGAGTGTGTTTTCTCTCTTTATGCAGCCACTGTCTCTTGGTGAGTTTGACCTGGGTTTCCTGGGCTGTAATTTGAGTGCCCTGGAAGCATCCTGCGTGTTTGTTCATGGGTCTAGAAGAATGGCAACTGCTGCAGATTTTAACTGTCTTCAGTGGTGAAGGTGAATAACAGCTTCTGAAACTTTCTGCTTCCAGTACTTGCAAATACTCTCTGCCATTGAGTTTTACCTACCACAAGTAACTGCTGCTGTTCTCTTTTTGGATATTGGCAGCACAGTCCCCAGAACAAACTTGCTGTTGAATCTAACAAAAGGGAAAAGCTAGTAAGAGTATACTGTTGTTTTGGCTTGGTGGATAGATGCCTGGTTTCCTGTTACAAGCTTGCAGCTGTCCTGCTATCTGCCCAGAAACTAAAGGAAGGCAGGTAAGTGCTAGGCTGGAGCCCTGCTCTGGGAGGGTTGATGAGGTTCTCGACATCTCAATACCGAGAAGAAAAACAACAATAACTTAAACTGGTCGTATAGATGGAACCAGGTTTAGGCAGCAGTCTGAGGAAAATAATTGTCCTTAATCTTTGCTTACAGTGGTGTTTGTGGGCAGAATAGGGTGTGTCAGATTGATGACAGCACTTCCAAATAAGTGTCAGCCTTAGCCTATCACTGTAGTGTTTCAGCCAGTTATACCTCTGTGTACCTCTTCCTTCCATGTCAGCGTTTTGTGTTCAGGAAGTGCTTTCTAGTCCTGTAAGAGCAGTGTACTGGTAGGTATCATTCAATACAAGCTGGTTCTTCACAAAGAAACATTGACCTGTACTTCTGGACAGAAGTTACCCAACTAGGGATTCAGGTGAACTCTGTCAGAGGGAAAACTGCTTTCTTCAACACTTCTGGTTTGTGCTTATTGACGAGGGTGAGCGGTGAATATTTGCATGTTCCCGTCTTTGATCTACTGCATCAGGAACAGATCATAGAGACATCTCCTTTTAATCCAGATGAAAGGAAACCTCTTGGGCCATGGCCAGAATGCTATGGGATAAATAGGACCCAAGACTTCATGAGTCTTAAAAGTGTTATCAGAATCCAAGGTGATAACATGGGTCTGTGAGTGAGGCAATTCCTTGAAATTTACTGATTCAGAACTAGGGTGTGGGCTTGAAAATACATGAAATACAGGCAAAATGGTTGCTGAGGATTAAAGCATTAGAACTCAGCTTCTTGCTGTCTCAGGCTTTTAGTTCATGATGTGTGTCAATAAAATTACAGAATTAGATCCTGAAGCTGAACATAACCATGTGGTTGTCTGTCTGTACATTCAAATAGTATGTAGGCAATTGTTGAATGTAGTTCTCCATGTCAGTGCTTGAGTGAATTCAGAGCTAAAACCAAGTCCAAAAACGTATTGTATAGAAGCAGCAGCTTTTTGTCATGGTTTTCCAAGGGAAAAAAAAAAGTGTAAAAAGTCTGGTGGAGGGGGAAGAATCACGACCTATTTCATTATGTTTGCAATTTCTAATTGGTTACTGGAAAAAACTTCTCTGAAGTTTCTCACGTATGACAGCTTTGTTTCTTTTGAGTTATGTCACTTTGATTCAGCTGTATTGAAGAGATCTTGCTGCTCCATTTTCTTAACTTTCATTTTATTGCTGGAATAATGTTATGGTTCAGTAGAAGGGCTGTTCATGTTGGGAAAGGTTTTCCTTTATAAAGATGTCAGGAAAGCTATTTCTGACTATGAAGTTGTGCAACTGTACCTTTTGGTTGCAGCATATACAAGTTTAATACAAAATTATGAGAATGAATAAAGTTATAACTCTTCGAGGTTGATAGAGTAGCAGGGAGCATGTTTCCTGTGAGAAATTTTCCAGTTTGTGTGGTAGGTAATCAGGAGAGGGTGCACTGCTCTGTGGGCACCCAGACCTACGTACTTAGCAGATGTGTTTTGTTGTGTGGACCTTCAGAAGCCTGTTGATCTCAGTGATGCAAGGGACACTCGTCTCTGGCTGTGTTCTGCTGGGACATAATGCCTGCCT